AAAAAGCTGATGTAACTTTCCTATAGCAAGGCCAGGCGGGCAGCAGGGCCCCCCGGCTGCCACGCGCACCCACAGGTGCCCGCGCGCACCCCCTGTGCCCTCGGGCACGTCCAGGGTAATTGACACTGATGGTTATTTTGCTTCCCAGACTAGATCATAACGAACGGTAAATTGTCGTGACGACTGAAGCCAGGTATGTCCCGTAGCTTAATGCTGGCAATGTCACTCACCCCAACTTCATGGAGGTTCCCAGTGGCTTCCCAGGGCTGTGGCTGGTGTGAAGGAGCCTGGAAGTATCAATTAAAAAATAAAGCATAATCAAGTGGAAAGAAAGAAAACCATAGTCATTAAAGCAGATATTTAGCATATGGACGATGCACTCATTTAGTGTGTTCCCCTCTGCTACTGGTCTGTTTCATCAAACCCAAATTATGATTAGTGGTTACAAACCCCCCCAGAGCAGCAAGGGCTCCCAGCTTCTGCTCAGCTCCACCAGGTATGTCAGTAACTCAGTCTGACTACAAACTGGTGAATAAATGCTATCGTTCACCTGCAGCCTTCACAACCTAAGACTTGCAGGAAGATGGTCTTGACCATTGTTTTTTAGCCCAAACCAGTATGGCACTCCCTGTTTTTCAGTGTCATTTTTTGGGGGGAAATGAACATAAATGCCTGTTCTTCATCTCCTCTAAACATGGCTAGAGGAAAGGTCTTGAAGGTCTGATAAAGCAGCAAAATAAAATTCTCAACCCTAGGTTATTGATAGTAAAGTTGTACTATAAATATAACTTAATACCCATTTTTATGAGTAATATTCTAACTTAATTGAGAACAATGGCTAAACCAGCATAAATGTAAACTAAAAACATTTCCGTAGATGAATGGTTTCTAAAGTTAATAGTTTGTATTTCTTATTTAGCACTGCACACCTATACTAATTCCCATGCTATATTTTTTGTTTGTAGATCCTAGTAAATGTGGGCAATTTTTTCACGTTGGAGTCTGTCTTTGTAGCACCAAGAAAAGGAATTTACAGTTTCAGTTTTCATGTAATTAAAGTCTATCAGAGCCAAACAATTCAGGTATGTTGATCAGGTATGATTATAAATACTTTAAATTGTTTATTTAGAAATAGATCTTGTCTGAGTATTTAAAACTCTTTCAAGGAAAAATAGCTTAAAGCAACCTGTGGTGTAGAGTTGCTAACAGTACAGTGAATACCTTTAAATTGAACAGCTGTAATAAGGCAAGATCCTCACCTCAGATAAACCACCACAGCTCCACTTCTGTGCCATAAGAACTGACTGTCTGGGGTGATATAAAAGTATCAACTAGAATGAATCACACAAGGCTGAAGCAGAACTCTTATATTTGACTTAACTGCGCAAATACTGTTTGAAGAATCATGTTTTGCTACAGGTTAAACTCACTGTTTTGACCACAGGAGTTGTGGGCATTGGTACCAGGTTTTATCATTTTTGTACCATTCTGTGACCTGGCTGGCAGGTCCTGATGCCAGGTGTCTGTTCCTGGCACCACTCTGCTGTGGACAGAGGTTAGTTAAGGTGCTCTGCTTGCTCTCTGCTACTCTGAAACATTACACCTTTACAGAGATACCTTCTAGGGAACCTTTATAGCAGTTCAGCCTTTTCTCCACCATATATATAATACATAAAAGCTGTGTTGTATATTAAAAAATGAGTGATTCTGCAGTTCCTACTGTAGCTTCATAGCAGCTGGAACTCCCAATGAAATACAAATATGTACTAGCTTAGAGGAGAAGCCTCTATGGTCCTGAATATCCCCTTGCTGAGTAAATTCCTTAAAGTACCTTCCTTAATCCTCTTGCCAGGTTGTGCAAAGTCTATGACATACAGACTGGCTTTCTAGATCTGGAAGCACATCTGTGGTTTCCCTTGTTTTCACCCATGAGACCACCCAATTCATAGAAGTGTCTGATGCTTCTCCTCTGATCTGTCTTGCTCCTGAATATGGTTTTCAGTGTACAAGGCTGAGATAAAACTGATTTCTGCAGGAGTGATCAGCCATTTCTTTGTGGCAGCTCTGGCTTTGGGTTGCCTTTACTGGCTCCTGAGGAAAGTACAAGTGGCAGAGATGGCAGAGAGCTGGTGCAGGACACATTCACATGCCGGATGAAATTCATCTTCAGTTTACAACAGGAAATCTTGGTTCCATTCAGGTCAATGACAAAACTCTTAGATGAAGTATTGACATCAAGAAATTCTCTATTATAAGCTATTTAATATGCTTGGACTTTGCTCCTTTCACTCTTTTAAATGCTGAAGGTTGAACTAGCCTAGAATAACTGCATGTCAGCCAGCTTCATTGGATTTAAAATATGTATTGCCAAGAAAGATGTCAAGGCTTGGGTTCTGGGAGTCCTGTGCAGACTCACATGCCAGGTTCTCAAATGTGGCAGTTGTGGGGTCATAACAGGGATTGTTAAAACCTGTGACATGACCTGAAATCTCTTGAAGACAGAGAGTTTCTAAGGGAGTTATGGATGGGTTTTGTTGGCTCTATTTTGGCATAGTTAACATGAGACCAGCTGCTGCAAACCTCTGTTGTGTCTTCTGCTGTGATTAAGACAGCTGTAAGATGATCTGCAGGGAAACCTGATCTAGAGAGATGGTACAGAATGAGAGAGATAAACCAAACCCAAGCAACTGAGTAAACCCTTGATGCCTTTTTTTTTTTTCATGTGTGCTGACTTGGAGGGAGGACTGAAAGCAGAGCAAACCAGCTTGAGGGTCAGCCACATGCAGACTTAAACACTACTAAATCACCTGAAGGCTTCCTACATAAGTGATGTTACTATGCCCCTGGAACATCTGTTAGTGCCATTAAATATCATTAAACTGAAATTGGTTCCCTGGGGATAGCTGATTGAGTGGTTTTCCCAGATAGGCCAATCCCAAATCAGGGCCAGATCCTGCTGCCCTCATTTATGCTGAGCACTAATTTATTCCATGGCAACTCCCATTAAAATTAATGGGAGCATATGCAAGGCCAGCATACTTGATATGAATAAGCATTTAATAATTCACCCCTCTGTGACTGCATTATAGCTGCTTAAAAAGAAAAAGCAGAAGAAAGCTAATAGTTGGCCATGGGGAAATGAGAGATGCTTGGATCTGTCCATCCTCCTGTCTTTATCTACAGTGTCTGTGATGTTGCTTTCAGAGCAGAGGCTGTGCTGACTTTCAGAAGTGTTGGGTGGAAAAATGGATTTAGTACCAGAACACCAGTGCAGTGGTTCACAAAGCCAAAGGTCTGCTCTAGACTTTAAAACTAGGCTGCTGTCAGTGATGGAAGGGACACGTTTTGCTCTCAATGAGGTGTGAGTTCCCAGCCCACTGCAGCCTCTGACATCCCCTTAGGTGCCTGTACTGTAGCTCTGGGTGCTGAAGTTTCTTGAAAACCTCTTTTTTGCTCGTGTTTTCCTAAATAACTGTGAGGCAGGCAATGTGGAACAAGCTGAGGCTGTAGCTTACAGGTCCATGTCACCAGAGGTCCAACAATTAATGTGCCCAAGCAGCAGGTGACAGCAATGTCACGTTCACTGCCCTTCCCACTGACCTCCCCCAGCTGCAGGGTGAGCCCAGGAAACCCCAGCGTGCTTGTACACTCCAATTAACTGTAATTATTAGTGTAAAACAGACAAACAAACAAGAAACCCCAATGAAGATTGGGACTGTAGCAGACCTCTTACACTGTAGTTAATATTCAGTGATAGGTCCTAATGTTTTTCTGTTAATTAGAGCTTTTCAGTGCCTTTTTCTCTTGTAGGTTAATTTGATGCTAAATGGAAAGCCAGTCATTTCTGCTTTTGCTGGGGACAAGGATGTCACTCGTGAAGCTGCTACTAATGGAGTCCTGCTCTATCTAGACAAGGAGGACAAGGTTTACCTGAAGCTGGAGAAAGGTAATCTGGTCGGTGGATGGCAGTATTCTACATTTTCTGGCTTTCTGGTCTTTCCTCTGTAAAGTCAAATTTTCCTGTGACATTCATCCAGGTGTGGACTCATCATTGCCTCTGTTACACGAAGAGCATTTTATCATCATGGGATTGATGTTTCTTTATTGTTCTTTCATGGTTGAATATGGATTCTCTTTATGGATTTTGGCTCCATCAGAACTACTCAGAAGTTTCACAGAATTTTGTGTTTAAATATATTTGGACTGAGACTAAAGCAGACAATAAGTATCTATACTTAATGTTACAGTCTAAAGCTGCCTGCAAGATTTATTCAGATTTCATTTACTGGACTTTCTGGATTCATGGGAGAAGTGGATTTTCTTTAATTATGAACATGACTGGCAACCAGGTCTCTAATTTAGAAGAGCTTGAGTTCAGACTTCAATCAAGAGTTAGTGTGTTGCTGCCAAAGAACTGTATATTGATATATTGGTCATACATGTTTTTGTCATTGGGACTTAACTGACATGATCTATCCCATTGTCTTGAGAAAGGTAATTATTATTGATAAGTGGTTGACTTTGATTCTTCTCTGCGTGTAGTGTGTTGGATGGGTTACCCACATATTTATGCTCTGTCCCCATCAAGTCTAGCTCACATAAAGCTGAGAGGTTATGATTGTATTTTAGTTGGATGTGTAAGTATTCCTCTTCTCCACGTGCTGGTTTCTAAAAACAAGCAGCAGAATCTAACCATTAAGGAAAATATTCTTACCAGGGTTAAAGGCATTCAGGCACAACTTTGCACAGCTTTGCCCTGCAGGAAATCTCATGCTTGTTCTTCAGTTCTAATTAACATGATTGATAATAACTGCTTTCTTAAAAACCTAAGGGATTCCTTCCTTAGACACAATCACTTTATTAGCTGGAGATGAGACCCCTTTGTTTGAAATTATGTCTGTTTTTCAAACCTTCTGGTGTGTTAAAGGTATCATCCTGGTTTTGCCTTAACTCCACAACTGTATATAATTTTAGATCATATGTTTAACAAATATTAAATCCAAATAGCTGGTACCTACCTGGGTGCAATATCTTTTTGGCTTTTTGTACAGGTCATAAAAATCCATAAACTTATTTATTATATCATTGTTACATAATAAAGATTAATGTATGTTAGCTGAATTTTTGACCTTTGGATTTTGGAAGTCACTTCATGCTATTTTTTTATTGGATATAATTATTATATGCAAAGTATAAGCTTTTGGGATTCACAGAAACTGTCCTGGAAGGCAGGCAAACTGTCACAGTTTAGTCTGGCAGAATCCTAGAGGTAATCAAATGATCTAGAAGAAACCTATGCATTTTATTTAAAAACATTTAGGCAGAAATCTTGGCTTCACTGAAGTTAATGTTAAGAATCACATTGATTCCAAGAATTTTGGAAGAGAGCTGTGCTTTAGGTTTTGCTATCAGCATTATATTCCAGTGCAATCAAATTGCACATCAATTAAAAATAATTTTCACAGGAACTGCTAATGAAACTTCCACCCCTCGTGCCCAAAACAATGCTCCTGATAAAAATGTCAGGGAATCAGTGGCACAGAATTGTGTCCAAATTCCTTATTTTTCTGGACTGAGCATACAGGATTTTTTTGGGGAATTTCAGGAAGATAGCCAGGTACATTTGTACCCCTATTGGATAAGTCAAATGAGGAGGGAATTTCTTAGACCCAGTATTGTTTCTGCAGGGAACACTGTAGTTGGGAGGATATGGAAAGACAAGGCAGGAAGGTGAATTATTTACACTGGTGAAAAATATTCAAAAGTTTTCCATTATGATGAACCAAAATGTATCACTACTGTACCCAAAAATGTGTGTGTATATATATGTGTATCTAAAAAACCCTGGGATTGCAGCACATAATATGCATGATATTATAAAAAGGTGATTTGTCATAAGAGTTTCTTTCAGAGAGGTACATCATTATTTTGTATAAAATTGGTAAAATCTGAAGATCACCTTACCCATGGATATATATGTAACATAAAAGAAATATTGTTCCTACACAGACAGAAGAAAGATGGCATTAAAGGTGTCAGTATACTTTTCAGAATTATCAAATGTATCCAATTTCTTTAGTTTGTAAACACATGATCTTTAAAAGCTGCCTTTAGCATTCAGCAATAATACTGAAATATATTAATATACTGTTGATTTCCCCATGGCAAAACATTTCTGATTGTTTCAGAGTCATTAACAGTTAGTTAAACCAGAGTCTAGGAAGTTATTAATTTAAGGGCATATGTTCTGATGGAAATGTCCTCAACTTTTCTCTTCAGCCTCTAAAATCAGAGTTACTAATTCTTTTGCTAGTTAAAGGGAAACAAATTCCAGAGAAATGAAAGCTGCTGAAGAGCAGCTCATGTTACCTTCACACACCAACCCCACTCAGAGGAGGCCTCTCTCAGCTCACATTTAAACGTTAATAATACCAACAAGCTAAGGCTTTTAGACTTCCATTTGAGCTACTTTCCAGATCTTAAGCTCAATTTCATTGTATTGTCCCATGCTTCAGCTGGAGCAGGAAGAGCTGCTCCCCTAAGAGGTGTCTAGAGTAGATAAATTAGCCTGGATGGAGCTGGGACTGGAAACTTCTGTCTCCTTTCCTTTCTGTCTCCTATGTTATTGCTACAGAAGTTTTCTTCACAAGCAGCAGCTCAGGAGACACTTCAAATTTCACAGGGTTTTTAAGATCAGGGGTTTGATTTAAAAAAAATAATAATTTTTAAGAGCTTTATTGAGCTGCTCTGTAAAGGTTAGAGCCAGATTTCTGCTCTTGTTTAATTTGATGACGTTAGTCCTATTGATTTTGGTGGGGGCAGAATTTCCCAGGCTGTGTGCATCCCTGCTGCAGGGCATGCTGAAGATCTGTACCCACATCCTTCCACATCCACCCACTTTGCAGTCAATGTTGTAGCTTTCAAAGGTTGATTGTGCAAGAAAACCTTCTGGCCATGTGTGATGAAGAGAAGAAAACTGTTACTTTCTGAGAATAACGTATATATCATTGTTATCACCGATCACTTTACAAGGGAGGGTAGTATTTTTACCCTTTAATTTACATTCTATTTATATTTTATTCATATTTTATTATAGGATTAAGGAAAAAAACCCAACATATTGTCCTCCTACCGTGTTTCTGGTAGATCCAGAAATACCCTGGTTTCCTGGATTCATTCTGTGTAGAAAACTGCTCATTTCTGTTGATTCCTGTTTGCCATAAAGAGGGTAGGCTATACATGCCAAGTGACTGTGCAGCCAAAGAAGATACTAATAAAAAATGCCCGAGTAATGGAAGTGTTTCTGGAAAAGGCACTTTGAAAATTCCACAAGCATTTCTGTCTTGCCATAAACAGGAAAAACTATTTTGGAAGCATAGAGAGGGAAAACTTAGTATTTTATTTTTATAAACAACATTTTGTACTTGTTTTGTGTTAAATATATTGTTTTTCAAGTAGTATCCAAACATTTTAGAACCATGGAATCATAGAATTATTTTGGTTGGAAAATACCTTTAAGATCATCAAGTCCAACTGTTAACCCAGCACTGCCAAGTCCAGCACTGAACCACATCCCTCAGCATCACATCTACATGGCTTTTAAATACCTCCAGGGATGGTGACACCACCACTTCTTGGGCAGCCTGTTCCAGTGCCAGAATATTAATTAAATTACTTTTGACAGGTCATGGCAGAGTAAATACTGTAACCTCAGTATTACTACTGAGAAAATGAAGGTGGGTTTGGGAAATGACCAGCACTGTACCCAGTGCTGACTCACCCACTACTGGTGCTTGGTGCTGTTCAGTTTGTTGGATTGCTCTTTTTTCTTCTAGGAGGCTTTTTTAAAAAAAAGACAAGATGATTTTGGAGTGAATGGCATATTGCTGTATTTCCTCTTCCATATTATTTAGATGTCTATTTCTAGAAAGATAAATGCAGTGACACAGGAGTTTTAGATGACCGAAGAAACTCACAATTAGCTATCACCTCTGTTGGGTTTTGTTGGTTGTTTTTTTTTGGCATCCCCCAAAGAACACCTCTGCACTTCAAACAGCAGTTTTACAAGCAGGTTTTAGGATAGAGAAGATAAATGCAAGAAGCAGGATGTCATAATCACAAGGAAGCTGAACCATTAACATGAAATATGGGCTGAAGCAGAGAAGCAGACCTATGTTCTCCTTCTCTTATCAAGGTTTCTGAGTTGGTAACATTTTACCTTAGCAATTCAGTACACTTGCCCTTCCTGTTATAAGAACTCTCTATAATATTCAAGCTCTTTGTCTTCTAAAGACAATGTTTGTTAATCAGATGACTCAATGTAAATAAATGAAGATCCACAGTGACAGCATGTATGGGCTGGCACATACCACAACAATGTATTTTTATGTACTATTGTTGTCCAGACAGAAAAGGCTCCTTTGAGAAAACACATTGTCTTAAGACACTGAGCTAAAGTTATTTATCTCTTGCTGGTTAGGAAAGAGGGGGAAATAAAACCCCCTTTCCTACCCTGGAGCACTAAGAGGAATGCATACAGAGAGTAATGACAAAAATCAGCCACTGTTGTGTAAGTGATGATGAGAATAATGAGAATGTGGCTTGAATAGCCTGTTTCGAGAACGCTGTGATCTAAGGCGTTTGATGGAAACAATCACTGTTTTAATCTTCACAGTCTGGGGAAGGGGAACAAGTCTGTTGCATCATCTTTAACAGATTCGTTTCACTTTGTTTTTTTCCCCATTTTTCCCTTCTGCCTAGTGGTTCAGCTTAGCTGAAAAAAAAAAAATAGCCTTTCTGATCACTAAGGAAAGTTAATTTCTTAAGAGAAAGGGGGGCGGGGCAGTGGTGAATTTCTTTTTTCCCTGATATCTGTTGTGGGGGAAAAAAACCCAACCATGCAGGAGAGAGGAGGAAATGGCAAAGCTGATTTCCACTCAACCTAACAATGCTCTTGGCCTATCATCCAGTTCAGTAATTGCCTGAACATGTTCTGCTTATCTGCATAACACTTTTCTACAATGCATGATACTGACCCATCCTGGTAAGGACACCATATTGTAATCTGATGGGTTTTAATCCTGCTGGAGGAAACTAGATGTAGAAGAGTAGTGCAGAGCGCTGGAGATCAGCCAAGAAAAGAGCTTTATCTCTCAACTGAGACTTGTGCCTGGATTTACTCCTACAAAGCAGAACTGTCATCCCCAGGGTGCAAAAGGCAAATGTGTGTACAAACATTGACACACTCAACAACAAGCTGAGAGGACGGAGCCTTCTGAATTACTGCTGACACAAAGAAATCTCTGATCTCTTTGTGAGGACATTTAAATTCTCTGTATGGTCCTAATACTGGAAGCAGGCAGATCCCCAGGGCACCAGGGCAGAGTGACCAGAGCTCTGTGGAGGGGACAAGACCTGCCTCCATGTG